GAGTCCCTACAAAACCAGGTAGGTCTTAATTTTATTAAATGTAGCACTCTGAAATGTTTGGGGTGAGACATGAAATGCTACATACTAGGGAAGTTAAATATCGGTTAATTGAATAGTCAAGTAACCTCAAGAATTCTTGTTGGTTGGTTGGTTGATCTGTAGTCTCCGGGAGCAGGGCTGGCAGCCAGTGCACTCTAGCTTCGCTCCTGAGGATCCCCCTGCCACTCTGCACTGCTGTCTTGGTATCAGAGACAGCAGTGCAGGGTGCCAGGCGGGAGCTGGTCCGCAAGGAGAGCCAGTTTAAAAACTAGCTCCCCTCGTGGACTGGCTGCCTGTCTCCCTATGTTGCTGCCTCTGATAAAGAGGCAGCAGTGTGGGATGGCAGCAGTCTCTGTCTACAGTGGGTCTGAGCTCCCGGAGCCAGAACTGAGCCAGGCTGCCAGCTCCTAATACACTTTAAATGCAGAGCCACAGCAGGAGTAGGTCCCAGACCCATTTCAAGCCAGAACTGAGCCGGGCTGCTGGCCAACCTTCTAAAAAATTTGTGTGTGTGTGTGTGTGTGTGGGGGGGGGTAATGCGTGTAGTCTATAGCATTAATCTATAAGCTTTTGGTTATCTGTTAATTGTCTACACTATACATCCCTACTACATACACAGTTACTTCTTTCTTAAGTAGGGGTGGACAATAAGTGGCCTGTGGGCCACACACACGGTTCACCAGGATTAGTCTCTGGTGAGCCACAAGATGCTTTATTTACCTCACATCCAAAAGAATGGCTGTTTTCAACTGACCTGACCCACAAAAGGTTCCCCACCCCTGGTTTAAACAAACCCTAAAATAAAGAAAATATCCTGATTGTGTTTAACATTTCCTGTTCTACTCATATTTGTTGCTGAAAGGTTCAGGCCTTTCTAGACATGGATATTGCTGAAGACTCAATGCCTGGTTCTCAAGGCTGGCTTCATCTCTTCCCCCCAGCTCTTGCTCTGAGCTCACACAAGACTGAAACAGGCAGAACTTGTTTTTGATTTAAAAAAAAAAAATCTTTTCCTATGGGCTCGCCTGGCTCCTTGCCAATACTTCCTGGATACCCTCTGTTTCTGGGTTTAACCCTTTACAGGCAATTTAATTAACTGAATGGCTGGGATGTCTAGAAAAGATAGTATTCCTCCCATCCATCACACTAGCTATGTTGATCTAATTTTTAAGTGTATACCAGGCCTCAGTCTCTTACTAGCTGAAGCTGTTTCAAAAGGGCAACTTTGACGTGATCCAGGAAGAAGTAGGCAAGAATTTGCTGGAGTTTGACATAGGGATGTAAACGTTTAGCCAGTTAACTGGCTGGAGCAGTTCCTGTCTGCGGGGGTGGGAGGGAAGCAGGCACTCAAGCCTGCTTGCCCCCATTTAATTGGTTAACCAGTTAAACATAATGTTTAACCTATTAATTAATTAAACAGGATTTTACATCCCTATTATGACAAAACATTGTTTCCTCTTGGTATTATAACTGGGTAGGGCTAGCTCAATCTGGTTCAGTGCAGTGGATGCTACTTGGCTAACCTCTGGAATGATGTACAGTTTGTTTTGATCCCCAGGTATGACCCGTGATGACCTGTTCAATACCAATGCTACCATTGTTGCGAATTTGACGACTGCCTGTGCCAAGCACTGTCCAGAAGCCATGATCTGCATTATTGCTAATCCGGTAAACATTAATGCTGGTAGATCTTGATACACAGTGTAGAGAAGCCAAAGGACTAGCAGCCTTAGTTAACTGACTATTAAAAAGGCAAGAATTAATATAGTACCATCCTAATTGAGAGACTTTCCAATCTTGTCTTTACTGAAAACAAATTGGCTAGAGCTAGATTTCCAAGTTAATGCTGGTCCTGTGACTATGACCGATTCCATAGATATAAAATAGTGTAGAAATCTTAAATAAATATCATGCAGTAAACCTACAAGAGAGAGCTATGCAGGATATGTATGTTTACTAGTAGATTAATCTGATGAAGCTTTGGTTCTTTAACATGCCCTTCATTACATGAATGAACCAGTGGAAGTATTGATGCAGGCTCGAAGCCATTCTGAGTTCTGATCTTCAGTTTAGTTACTGACAAAGATTTTGGATAAAATGGTGTTTAATTGCATTAATTCAAGAAAAGTGCACACTGGTGCCCACTGGAATAGTTGAGCGCTGTTGTCAGCTTGCTTGTTTAACTAACTAAAATTGTGATGGTATCATAGAAATGACATCATAGGCATTATAAAGATGCTCACTTTGCATCCTGTTAGAGATCTGATGAGCGTTCCAACTGTGTTCTCTAAATAAAAGCTCAGTTTTGTGGTGGTTGTTTCATTTCTAACCCATGGCTAGGATATGTAAACCGGTTAACTTAATAAATAAGCAAAAAGTAGCAGTGTGTTAATGCATTCCTACCTGCTTCTCAACCCTAGGTAAATTCTACCATCCCAATAACCTCTGAAGTTTTTAAGAAGCATGGGGTTTATAATCCCAACAAAATCTTTGGTGTTACAACACTGGACATTGTCAGAGCAAATACTTTTGTGGCTGAACTAAAGGTATGTTGTAATCTCCCTGCGTCAGTAGATTTACCACTATGAGCCTTTATTGTGGATGTTAGCAATGCTCATTGTCATAACTTAGCTCTATTCATTCATGATATGTCTCCGATTCCCTAGAACTAGCTATTTCCAGACTGTCCTTCAGGGTGCAGTTACAGCTGTGAAATTCTTGTCAAACTACACCTTGAGAGTCTGAGGCACATGCTTACCTTACCAATAGTGACATTTTCACTCCTTCTAGTGCTGGAGTCTAGTTTCACTGTGGAAGAGTGAGCTGGTTTCTACCATGCCTCTCTGAGCAGTAAACTTGTTGCAGGATGTTGTCTCATGGGAGAAAAGCTTGACTTTCATACTCCTGGTGGAGTTTGCAGTGCTGGCATTTCAGTTCATTTAGAAAAGGCTAGTGAGAGCAAGGTCACCAGGATAACAAACAGGTTTCTCTGATGTGGTTTTAATTCACTCTCCAGGACATGACTGCACTTCAGTCTGTTTCCGTTATTCTACCCCATGTTGTGTTACATTGCAGATATCTGATTAAATGTTCAGGAGAGAAATATGTCTTAAGGCATACTGCTTTTCTTGCCCAGACACTTAATGATTGCTAAAGCCATGAATTTTCCTGCAGGGTTTAGATCCTGCTCGAGTAAATGTTCCTGTTATTGGCGGACATGCAGGGAAGACCATCATCCCTCTGATCTCTCAGGTATGTTACAGTGAATATTCAATGCATGGAAATGGTCTTATCACCCTGCTCTCCTTCAGTATTGCATTAGTGTCAATTTGAAATGTGGTTACTGAGATCTTACAGTGCCAAGACAAGAGAAGATGTCTCTGTCCAGCTGTTTGTACGTGTTCATTCACAAGAGAATGTGTTGTACAATTGGAAATTCATTCTGCACACTTCCAATGACCTAAGTCTAAGGTCCTCTGGGACTATTACAGGCTCCATAAACTTATGTGGCATCTCAGAGTAAGAGCCTTCTTCCCCAAGGAGCTTTTAGTCTGATAGACAAGAGATGGCACAACTGCTTAGGGAAGTGAGCTAGGAGAGATCATTAGAAATGCAGGTACTGAGACATTTATTGTACAATGTGTACATTTGATATCCATAAATAAAGTTGGTTGCCTATTGCCATCATGGGTGGATTCAAGACTAGTGAGTGGGCCGAATGAGTGGCCCTTCTTTGTCTCAGTGGGCTGCATGATCAGTGGTGGGTAATCTGCAGCCCACTGGGTTCTGCCTGTGCCTGCACACCACCTCTCTGCCTCCTTCCCCATGCCTTACTGTGGCACAGG